AAAAAAAAAAAAAAAAAAAGAAAAAGAAAAAAGAAAAAGCCATACCCTGCAGATTTAAAAAAGTTTCTGTCTGATAAAGGACTTGTATCTAGAATATATAAAGAACTCCTAAAACTCAACAAAACAAAATACACCCAACTATTTTAAAAAGGCTTTGATCAGATACATCATCAAAGACAGCAAATAAGCATATGAAAAGATGCTCATCATCATTTGTCAGCAGGAAAATGCAAATAAAAGCCACAATAAGATACTACTGCATGCCTATCAGAATGGCTAAAATTAAAAAGACTGATAATACCAAGTGTTGCTAAAGACATATCCATATCAGAACTCTCATACATAGGTTAGGAGAATATAAGATGGTACAACCATTTAGGAAAATAATTTGGCATTTTCTTAAAAACTCAAACATACATCTTCCACACAATTTAACCTTTCTACTCAGGTATATACACAAGTGAAAAGAAAATGTAGCCAGGAATGGTGGATAATACCTTTAATCTTAACACTTTCAGAGGCTGAATGAGGAGGACTGCTCGGGCCCAGGAGTTCAAAATTAGCCTGGGCAAAGTAGTAAAAAATCCTGTCTCTACAAAAAAAAATTTTTTTTAATTTGGCCGGGTACAGTGGCTCACACATGTAATCCCAGCACTCTGGGAGGCCAAGGTGGGCATATCACCTGAGGTCAGGAGTTCAAGACTAGCCTGGCCAACACAGTGAAACCCTGTCTCTACTAAAAATACCAAAATTAGCTGGGTGTGGTGGCAAGTGCCTGTAGTCCCAACTACTCAGGAGGCTGAGGCAGAAGGATCACTTGAGCCCAGGAGGTTGAGGCTGCAGTGAGCCAGAATCGTACCACTGTATCCAGCCTAGGCAACAGAGCGAGACCCTGTCTCAAGGAGAAAAAAAAAAAAATAGGAGGGGAGGAAAGGGGCAAGGAGGGAACAAAGTGTCCAAAAACGTTAATGTTCTCAGTAGCTTTATTTATAACCACCAAAGTGGGAAACAACCCAAATGTCTATCAATAGATGAATGCATCAACAACCAAGTAAATCCATACAACAAACTACTACTCAGCAATTAAAAAAAAAAAAACTATCAATACAAACAACAACCTTACTGAATCTCAAAATAATAATACTGAGCGATGACTTCACAGGTGCATGCATATATACATACAAAAACCTATCAAATCATACACTTGAAATGTGCAATTTTTTGCACTTCAGTTCTACTTTAATAGAACTATGTTACACACTCAAGATGATCTTTCTCTTGACCCTATAATATCCTCCCTTTAGGTACTATCTTCCTTTCTGCTGAAGTTAAGTTTCTTCAAGAAATTTATGTATACTGCTATCCACTCACCTGTCAATCTAGTATAATGAGACATCCTCTGGCAAAAATTAAAGCATTTTCTCACTGTCACATACAAAAGCCTCATTTCACTCCAGAACCTCTTTAGTGTCTTTGCTGCATCTGCCCTACAGATAACACCTGTCTCCTGTGGCTTCAGAGATATTGACTAGTTCCTCCTCACCTTTTGGTAACTCGTTTTAAGAGCATATATGCCCAGTTAGTGTCACTGACCATTATCTTACCCTAACGACACTTTTTCTTTGGAAAGTATGATCCATATGTGTGGCTTCAGTGACTTAAAGGCATAAGATCTATGCCTCAGCCCTGATTTCTTCACTGTTTACATGCTGTGACATCTACATATCATGCTAAAAAAAGAGAGAGAGAGAGAACACTTTCTAGCTTGGGCAACATAGTAAGACCCTCCTCTCAAGAAAAAATAAAAAAATATTAGCCAGGCATGGTGGCATGTGGCTGTAGTCCCAGCTACTTGGGAAGCTGAGTTGGGAGGACTGCTTGAGCCCAGGAGCTCAAGACTACAATGAGCTATGATCACGCCACTGCACTCCAACCTAGACAACAAGACCCCATCTCTTGGAAAAAAA